ATAACTAAGTTCCTATAAAATATAATTAACAATTAAAATAGACTCAAAGATGATTGGTATAAGAAATTTAAATTAAAATAAAATCCAAAAACATTTCACCTATAATTTATAGAAGATGAACGTTGAGCTTGTATACTCATAAGTCATAAATGCAATGGAATTTGATTTTCCCAAGTCAAGAAAATAAAAAATTAGACAGCAGACTTTCCCTTATCATTTGTCCCATTGCTTTCATCATTACCTTATTATTGGACCGTTCAAATTTCAAAAGTGAAATAAATAAAATAAAAACAAGTAAGCAGATAGTACTGGTTTCTTTATTAGTCCAATGACCTCTCTATCTATACATTCATTTCTCCCGTGACGGTTCCCTCCTCAAAGTTGCCAACCACTGTATATTAAGGGTAACTACATAAATGGTCCTTAATGTTTGAGTAAATTTTTATTTTCACCACTAATATCTCAAAAGTTACAAAATAGATCACTAATGTTTGAGTAAGAACCATGACCACACAACAACGAATTAAAAAAGAAAGAGTACAAAATCTCAAGGAGTGTCGAATGATTTTAGGAGAGAGTGAGGTTTCGAAATGATAAAGAGGGGTTTCTCTCCCCCTTATTTTCTCTCCGATAAACAGAATTTGGATTTGATTTTGTAAACGAGAAGTGGCACCAAAATTACAGTTTGGTATAAATTTACAGTCATAACCCTCAAATTTTTGGCACCTTGAAGAAGAAGAAGTCAAACGGTTAGTCAACACATGCCGAGTCAGTTACTATAGTAATGATTGTTAACGAATTATAACGTTAGTGATTGATTTGTGACTTTTGAAACATCAATAGTGAAAAAAAAATTTACTTAAATATTAGTGACCATTTATATAGTTTACCCTAATATTAATTTCCCTTTTTGTTTTATTTTTTCACTTCTATACAAACAAGATGTCAATTGAAAATTTCAATTGTTTTGTTGTCAATTATAAAAAAAATATATGTTTATTTTAATAATTATTTAAATGAAATGTAATTAAATAATATTAAAAGAGGGAAAAATTGAAGCTATGGAGACGGAATAGGACGAGTTGTCAGCGTGAGCGATGGAAATAGCCCGAGTAACGAGGAACCGAATTTAATGGCCGACGTCGACGCTTCAAACACGTCTCCCTCCTCACGCTCTCCGTCCAGTGCGTGACAACAATACTCATTCTCCATTTTCTCTCTCTTTTTTGGACGAATAAATGTTGGAAATAGTCTGCCTAATAAATATTTACGTAAATTACGTATTTAGTATTTAAAATTATCAGTTTTTAGTATTTAAATTTTTAAATTTTTTTAAAAAATATCTAAAGTTTAGTTTTTATTTTTTTAGTATCCGCCGTTAAAATCTTTAGTTTTTATTTTAACATATATGTTCAAAATTTAACTTTAGTTTTAAAAATATTGAAAGTTCATATACTAAAACAGACAAAAACTAATAGTTTAGGTACTAAACGTATTAAGTTTTTAATGAGAGTGTTCTAAAATGAAATGATAACTAAACATTAGATACGTTTTGAAAATTTTGAAAGTTTAGGTACCAAAAGAGACCAAAATTGATAGTTTAGGTACCCTAAATATTTTAGGATAAAATACATCTTCGGTCACTCAATAATCAATTCAGTTACAAATGGATCATTTTTTCTCTCTCTAAAATTTTATTGGGCAATTAAAAATAAAATAAAAGTGTAACGTGTGATGATATGAATTTAAAATAATTGAATGAATTTAATCATTCATATTTAAAATAAGAGTTTTGGTCTCTAAAATTTATATATTCTATCAATCTTTTTTTAATTTATAATAATTGAATGAATTTAATCATTCGTATTTAAAATTCCATCAATTTAATCACCCTTTACTATACTAAATACTAAGTGAGTCTTTCATATCAAAGCAACAACTTAATAACTACATTTACCATGTTATAGTAACATGTTACTTATAAAAGACTTCTATCACTGAATATTAATCAATTATATGGTTGAACAAGCTTGGCTTGCAGTTTTATACAATACTCATATGTAACAAAACCCATGATTCCAATATATGTCGATGGCTGATATAACCTACACTAGATGCTTATAAAATAATAACAAAACATTGAAGAGAGTATCAACTAGAAATAGATTCCATAGGAAAGACTTTGCATGCTCTCCTACATAGTCTCTCGCATAGATCAATGAACAAATCGTCCCTATTTGTGTCATTAGAGAACAAAACTATATAATAAATATTTTATCATGCATACATGAACTATAAATAAACAGTGTTTTAGGCATTTTTCATGATTATCGAGTTGAGAAATGTTTTTCGAGTAATATGAAGTAGGCTTGGATGTTGTAGGGTTATTACAAGATCATCGTACGTGGGAAGTTACATAATCAAAGAAAATCATGACGATTGACAACAAGTCAAAGCTTAAACCGGCATGACAGGAAAATGCAAGAACTCAATAGATTTGATTTGAACCATGCAGCTCGCACTGCTACGCTATAGCTCTTATCCCACACCAAAACCGGCTCCGTAGACCGACATTGATTTAAGCATTAAAAAGCGTAAAAAAGGTACAAATTCCAGCACCATAAGCTGGCAAATCGGTAAACATCTAACCCCAATCTCACCTTAAACAACATCTGGTCGTGCACCAAAACTACCTATGAATCATGTTTTGCAAGCAGGGAAAGTGGGACGTATGATGATGGAAGAGACGGACGGCTGAAATGCTCCCACATCGTACGCAGCGGGGGAAGGAAAACCTAACTCAGTACAGCCTTCCACGTGCTTCTAATAAATGCACGTTCCCACGTAGAATCACTGTTTTTTTTTTTTTTTCCTTTGTGTTTATCCGAGTGTGGGTCATCACAAAAGAGGAGACATGACCCTGTGGTGTCCTGAGAGTCTTACAAAGCGACACGTGGTGTCATATGATTTGATGTGTATTCCAAAACAGCCCCCCCAACGAGTCCAACACAAATTTTCTCTTATCTTTGAAGGGTCAATTATGAGTTAATGATGAAAGATGTGAGAGAGGAGAGAAAATGAACAGAAAAGATGTATCAGTCAGATTTAGCAGTGTCACCAGATGGTCAGGCTAGACGAGTGTGTTTGAATTGAATTCCTAAGTTAACTCGATTCTCGCGGACCGAAGAATTTTATGTTTATTTCGATCGGAATTGCTAATATAGTTGTAAGTCGTAAAATATAAGTTTTAACAAAAGGACTAAATTTTAAATATGTGAAGAGTATAAGAATTGATAGCAGAGTTAGACCATATCGTTATTTGCTAATAAAACACCCAGTGATTTCCATTCCCGCCAATTTTATATTGGTGTCTGGTATTGGGGACATATGGCTTATTTACAGCTGGGGTCCTACTCCATTTAATGAATCTATTTATAGTTTTGAGAAATGAAATTTGAATCTGAAATTGCTTTGCTTGGTACGACTACAATTATTATCTTTCATTTTTCTGCCACCAACCTTTCGTCTATTGTTATGGAGACCCTTCAAAGCCATATTTAATGAGTTTGGTAACTCATACACTATGAGTTCGACAATTCATCATAAAAGTAGATGTCATTTACAACTCATAACAAATATATATATATATATATATATGGTTTTAGCAAAACCATATATGAGGATAGCTATGGGTGTTGTAGGTGGAGGTTTAGGGGTTAAAAAACACTATTGGGGATGATGATCATGATTGGGCCATTAAGTAGTGTCTACTTCCAACAAAGTGAGAGACCAAGACTTGAGTTACCGACGAATGTAAACAAGAAAAGGTTTGGGAAATGGTTGACTGTGTTAAACTTTATGGAACAAGACAATAATTCTTCTGTAAGCTATAATATTGTATTGGAATTCAATTCAGTCCCAACTGTTTAGCATGCGAATCCACAACCATTGCACTATTTAGTTTGAACAATGTATAGGGTTTAAGATCATAGAATCTATGCCCCTGCCCCTGCCCTGCACCTCCATCCCCACCCCAAACTAAAAAGTTATCTCCTTTTCTGACTCACCGTTCCAAGTCAGAATCAGGTCTTCGACACCGTGTTTTAAACAACCTTCACTGTGTTTCTTCCTATGAATTGCAATAGTCTCTTATGGTAGACTTGGGTTGGGCCAATATGCTCATCTTTGCTTTTTTACACAACTTATGCTGGGTTGGACTGTGGGCAAAGTTCTTCAAACATTGTTTTTCCGCCCACAAGCATCGAACCTATAACTTTACTCAAAGACCACAATTGAGCATGGGGCCATAAGAGCAAAGCTAAGGTCATATTGTGCTTGAATACAATTTCCAAGATAAGCTATATGATATAAATTACAGGCGAAAAGTGATCATACCCCATGTACCTAAAAAATGAAGTATTATTTTTTAATGTGGCTCTTTGACCAACTTTTTTTGCCGTTGACTGTTATGGTGCTAACATGACAGTTCACGGTGCTGACATGACGGTTCACGGTATTGACGTAACAATCTACAGTAATTGATAACGTGATAGATAATATAACAGATGAGCTAAATTGGCAACTCGATAATGACAATTAAAAGCTTGGTTTTTCTCTCAACCTCAGCCTACCATCTCAGTTTGTGAAAACTAAAGAACTATCCATTACAAACATAATCAATTCAACTCGAAAAAATCAATTTTGTTGTTAATATTCTGTGGTTTCAACTCTCTTTGTCAATAATGTTAACTGGAAATTAATTGCAATAATATTTGTTATGCATGTAATCATGATAGATGTAATAGGATCGAAAACGCCTCCATGAATCTGCATGGGAGTGAAGAACTGAAGAATTTTGTATAAGAATCTGGCCAAAAAGAAACTTGAAACGTAGTTGATGGATTTTAATTAAAAGAAATAAGTAAGTAACAAAACAGTGGCATCAAAGAAAACCAAATAAGGTCCCTTTGAATCATACATGTAAATTACAAAAGCAGATTTCATGAAGGATGAACCTTGTAAGTGGAAAGTCCCTTGAAAGCATAATTCACAGCAGCAATAGCAGAATTCACAGCAGCTTCGATATACAATTTGGAGGCAATAGTTGCCCCTTTCTCCATCAAATTCCCCATTCTTCTAGCCTCATCAGCTGCATCGAGCTCGTCGACCCTCAAGTCACGTTCGGTTTCCTCTTCGAACCGCCTGAAGTCGTCCATGGCGGTCTCCATGACCGAGTCGAGATACTTTTCGGCTTCCTGCATGGTTATTTCGGCTTGTGTCGATTGGTCTTCGTGTTCCAGCGTGGCTGCCCATGCCTTGTAAGACTCGATCTCGAAGAGCTTCATTAGGTCTTCCATGGCCGATGGATCGAAGTTCTTGTCTCGTAAAGCTTGATCTGACAGGAAGGTGAATTGGGAGAGGAGGGCTTCCATTTGCTTTTTTTGATGAAGAAAGAAAAAGGTACGAATTCAAGCGCAGATCTACCTAGTGAACACTGTTATGCTCCAATGAACAAAAGCAAGTAGCGATTTTGATTTCTATGTAATTCTCTAATCATATCTCATTATATTACTAGCCTTTCTTATATGGGTAAAGAGTAAACCAGTGGACCGTTGGAACTCTTTTCATTTAATTAGGTGAAAGCTCATTATTTAAACATAATTCACTTTTAACTTTAATTTACTTTTAGCATAAACCAGGTGTCAAAGATTTGTTATTATTTTTTGAGATATTAGATTCGAGTACCATAAATAAAAGGATGTGAATACCAATGATTAAGAGATATTTTTAGACGGATAATTCTTTATATTTATCTCGTATTAATAAAAACTTTAATTTACTTTTAACATTGATTTTTTTAATCCAATTTGATGGTCTGAGGAAAGCCGAGAAGTGGCTGGCATGGGTTCCTTGTCCCAATCAAAGGAAGGGAATCTTTAACATGGTGAAAGGTAGAGCCATGGCCATTAGGGGTGGGAATAGGTTTAATAAGCTTGAGCCCGACCTATGATGAATTTTGTAGGCTTGTAGTCTGTCAAAGACTTTTATTTTGGTTTGGTCTGGATTTTTTAAAAGCTTGGTCTGGCCTGATAGCCTGTTTAAAAGCATGTTTAAAAAAATAAAACACATTCTATAAATTAATAGGCTAAATTAATTTTTAATATAAATTGAAATCAATATAAAATAATCCAAAACAAAAGAGAACCTCATACTTGAGGTAGCATCATCCAAATCTATCAAACCAGCATATTAACTATTACAAACAAAAAATAAAGCCTACATCTCCATTCCATTTGAATAGAATGGATACATCAAAACTTCAATGTGATTTGTATCTCTTCTTTTTTAACCTTCTACTTGAGTTGAATCTGCAGGAACTTGTATATTCACCTCATTATCATTTGTACGAGTGGATGCTATTGGTTCACTAATTTCCAAGAGAGAAGACATATGCTAAACATAGTAAAAATATCATTAAAACATGACACAACATAGGATAACAACAACAAGAAGAACCATTAAAATTGACATGCAAAACGAATACCCTAAATCTCATAAACGACGCAGTTTTGGTAAGTTAATAAATACAATTTTAGGTTAACAAATTAACCCTAGCCTCACTTTATTATCTCAACCGCTGCTCTCATCCCGCCGTTTCCTCTTCATCTCCCCATCACTCTCTTCTTCGAACCCTACCCTAAGTTAAACTCTTAACCAAATTCTACCCTATAACCCCGACCGAGAACCTCTAGACCCCTTAATCAACCTTATTTCACTCGACGATGAATCACTCCGACGAAGGCTCAACTACTCCCTAAGGTAAAAACGATACCTTCCTCACTCTCCTCTTTCTGTCACTACTAGAACACATGCAGACTAAGAAAGAATTACTAAACAAGAAATACTTCCAAACATGCTTGTTGTGTTCTTTGTTATTTTCCTTTCGAAAATGGGTAAGAAAACCCTTACATTGATTGTTTCCGTCGAATGGTTGTAGCTGTTTTTCGCCTATCTTGATGAATGCTCTCGCCTCTTCTGTTGAAAAACCGAGAACCCTCTCTGTTATTACCGTTACCCTTTCGAATGGTTGTAAACTTGTAGCTTTTTTTTTTTAATTCTTCAATCCCCCATGTTTATCTTCACTGATCCCTGTTTTTATTTCCCCTCCTTTTTTTTTCGTGAATCGTGATGGCATTGACTGATGAAGTGATGATTCTCTTCGTTTATACGGTTATACGGTGTCATCGAGTTGTGGGTGCTGCAGGTATGGGCGTGGTCAAGGCGAGAGTGATGGCTTCGGTGTGTGGCCGACAGGCATGGATGGGCTCGGTGGATTCGCGCGCCGGTGGCGCATTGTTTCGGGCAGAGTGCTGGCATGGTCTGCTGACTGCTGTGTGTTCTGTAATCTGTTCTGTTCAATGCATATGCCACGTTAAATTGTTCTGTTCAATGCATATACCACGTTAAATTGTTTTGTTCAATGCATATGCCACGCTAAATTGTTCTGTTCAATGCATATGCAATGGTCTGATGTCTCAATCCCCATGTTTATCTTATACCCTCTTCATGTGAAGAACTGGTCAATGATATTGATAACATCGATGGTTATTACCCCTCCTCTCACTAGTCAGTAGTCGCTATCCTATATTTGCCGAGTTTCTTCTTCCCCGTACCGTGAGATTGATAGAACCACCTACACATACACAAGAGTACAATTAGAATGCCATTTGTTTATATTCAATCTATCATGTTTCCCCCTTCTTTGAAGCTTGTCATATTGTCATTTCATTCAGGAATATGTGTGTTTCGACTCTGGATCATGAATCATTTATGACTACATGTATTTCCAGCTGATGTTTGACATTGCCTTCTCAATCATCATGGCCAGAATAGAAGGAGAAAAACCATTTGGAAACTGATTCCAGATTGTGAACCTTTACCGATTTTCTGCATTTCATTCGTTTGGTTCTTAAACTATCAGCATGAGCTTGAAATAAAAGCTATCAGAATCATACACGTTTTTGGAAATTGATTCATGTCATGTTCTCTGTTTTTTTTTCTGGAATATACTGAAAAGGAGACACACGTGTAATTTGTAAACCATATAGGTCCAATTTCCTTCTCTTTTCTCACTAAAAATGATTTATAGTTAAACCAATCCAATTTACATTTTTTCCAACTTTCACTGCAACTCTGCAAGATAATAGTTGTGTATTTTAGAGAAAAAGAATGTAACAAATAACAACGAGCCCGAAAACGTTGACAACGTTCGAGACTTTCGCTGCGGCCTGCGAACTAAACTGGACAATATATATTATTGGTACCCAAAAATATAATAAGTATATAGTTATATAAACAGGCCGGCTTATCAGGCTTATAAGGTTTTATAATAAGCCTGACCTATTTAAGTTAATAGACTTTTAAAAAATTAGAGCCTGACCTTTTTATTAAATAAGTCAGGCCAGATTTTATGTACTCTAAGCCGTAGGCCCCTGTAGGCCAACCTGACCTATTCCCAAGCGTTGCCAATAATGTAAATTTAGGTCATGATTCCAGTGGGGGGAAAAAGGGTCTGACAGTTCACGAGCACACACAAATTGGAATTTATATTTATATCAAAACAAAACAATTTGATGTGGACCTCCCTTGGATGACCGTTCAAAATACATCCACTAACCTTTTCTATTTTACATGAACACAATCATGCCCTCACCTATTTATTACCCTTTTTCTTTTTGAATAAAAATTATAAAACAATTAAATTAAATAAATGGAGTACTATTTAGTCTGTGAATTTATTATTTTTTAATTAAATCTTTAATTTTTTAATTATTTAGTCTTTAACAAATTAAAATCTCTAAGTATTGAAAGCCAAAGTCCACTGGCTTAGGGAGGGTGATAGGAATACTAAGTTCTTCCATTCTGCTGTGATGAGGAAGAGAAAGAAGAACACTGTCAGATCGCTTTATGTTGAGGATGGCTCTAGGCTGGATACTTTTGAGACCATGTCTGCTGAGATGGTGAGGTTTTATACAGTGCTACTTGGCATGGAGGACTCTTGTGTTAAAAGTTGTGATGTGGATGTTCTTAAGGGTTTGTTGGGGTATGAACTTCCCTGTTCTACTGCTGCCTCCCTAGTAAAGGAGATCTCTAATGAGGAAATCAAAGCTTCTTTGTTTAAGCAGGGGAATGAGAAGAGTCCTGGGCCTGATGAGTATATTGCATACTTCTTAAAAGTGGTCTGGGATGTTATTCAAGTTGATTTTTTGGCTGCTATTAGAGAGTTCTTCCAGACTGGTGTCTTGCTGCATGCCTTCAATGCTATATCCATTGTCCTAGTGCCTAAGACTCCTAATGCAGGTATGGCTAAGGACTTTCGTCCTATATCTTGTTGCTCAGTTGTATATAAAACCATTACTAACATCATTGTTAATCGTTTGGGTAGCTTCTTTCCAGACTTTATTTTACCGAATCAGTCTGCATTCATTAAAGGTCGTAACATAGTTGATAATACCCTATTAGCTCAGGAAATAGTTAGGGGATACTCTCGCAGCTCACTGTCCCCTAGATGTACTCTTAAAATTGACCTTAGGAAGGTTTTGATTCTGTGTGCTGGGATTGTTTGTTGAAAGTTCTTACTGCCTTGGGGTTCCTGAGGAATTTAGATTTTGGATCAGAGCTTGTATCACTGGTGCTAGGTTCTTTGTAGCATTTAATGGGAGTTTAGTGGGGTTTTTTTTAAAGGGAGAAGGGGGCTAGAGTGAGCTGGTTGCAACTGTTTTGGTTAAAATCTGAGGGTGGTTTGGGTTTGAAGAGCCTTGGTTGTTGGAACAATGTGTGCTGCTTCTTGCTGATCAGGAACATCTTAGCTAATGCAGGGTCACTTTGGGTGGCCTGTATCAAAGAATATGCTCATAAGGGGACTGCTTATTGGGAAGCCAGTCCTAAACCTCAGTTTAGCTGGATTTTGAGAAAGTTGCTTAAACTTAGGAATGATGCTGCTGTCTTATTTGGTAGTATAGTGAACTGTAATATGGTAAAAAGTAAGTGGGTGTGGGAGAAGTTAAGAGAAAAGAGGGAAAATGTCAGATGGGAACACCTTATTTGGTTTCCCTTACATGTCCTAAGAATGTCAATTGTTGCTTGGATGGATGTTTTGAATAGGCTCCCTACTAAGGACAGACTCAACAATATGGGAATGGAGTTGGATGGAGGTTGTGTTATTTGCTATGCTGGGCTTAAAGACATGGATCATCTTTTCAATGATTGTGTTTTTACTAGGGGAATTTGGAGCAAGGTGTTGCAGACTTGTAGAATCCTCCACATGGAATTGTGTTGGAGTGATTCTTTGGCTTGTGCTGTAGCCAACTTCAGGGGTAAATCTTTGTTGATATGCATTTTGAAATTGGCTTGGATTTGCCTTTTATACTTT